ATTTAGTAATAATCACACCAAAACGTATTAAAGGGTAAGTGAATTATAACAGCGCAAACTTTTCTGTAACTGTAGTAGTGCTGTGCGTCATTTGTTTAACCCTTTAAGGTTGCGTGCTGACTGACTGACTGACTGACAGGTGTGCAATGCGTGAGGCCAGCAAACACGATGTATAGCCATTTCATTTTTCTTTAGGACGCATTAATATTGCTCTGTAGGTTTATTTGGGAGACATTCATAAATATTCCTAGCAAATATAATAAATGCTAGAGACATAGTCGTTACATAAACTCACTAAATCACACTTCAGCAGCATTTATTTGAGAGCGCACAAGATCTGTGCAGTCTTGAAGCGGCTTATATTTGAGGGGGCGTGCAAAAGGTTTTGTGCACAAGCAGAGGAAATCGGCGCGCAAGCAAAGAGATCCACATGCTGTAGGCTATTACATAATTGCGATCTCGACATCTAATACTGCTCACAACAATTGTCATTGAAATAACGCCACAGGTAGATGTTTAAAAAAAAAAAAAAAAAAAGGCCTGCCGCCACAGCTGGAAAAAAACCCTAGAGGAAACACTGATTGCCTTTAAAATAACCATATGCTAACGAGAATGACATTATCAAACTAAAAAAAGTTTGATTAGTATAGGGAGTGCTGTGCTTAGCATGTCTTTATACGCTACTGAATAAACTCAGCTGACTAATAATAGAGGACATAAGATAAACACAAGCCAACATCCACATATGGACATGAAAGAATGTATAATAAACCTGCTGATCCACACCAACCTTTTGCAATAACTATGACAAGTTGGTCTAACACGGGTTGGCTCAGATGTCATAATGAGCTGCAGGTTCATAAACAGTTCACCCAAAATAATGTTATTTATTTACTCACCCTCAACTTATCCAGCAGAACATTAAAAATAATAGAGGTTTAGTTGAAATTACTGTACTTGTACAATTCAATGGAAATGGTAAGACATGAGACGATAACCGGTTCCAAGGTTTACTGTGGTTTGGAAAAATCAATGTTTTAAAACTGCTAACATGTTCTGTTATTCTGTTCCTATACGGCAGGAGTGTCAAACTCAGTTCCTGGAGGGCCGCAGCCCTGCAGTTTAGTTCCAACCTTGCTCCAACACACTTATGCCATGGTCACACTATAGTTTGACCATGCGAAATTCTGTCATGGCTGTGTGAAAAGGGGCAGGATTAAACAAGATGATTTGACATTTCAAAAGCAAGCGATTGGTCCATGTTTAAAAATTTTGTAAACTGAGGTCATGGTCTGATCTTCAATTGGTCTCATGCAGTCACGTGATGTAATCAGAATTCACCAAGCTTGAACTTAGCAAGGCAGCAAACTGTGAAACTTGTCGCACGAGCTTGTGATTCCAGTCTGATATATTTGTGTGCGTATGAATGGAAGTATGGGGGAAAAAGTCCAGTGTAACCATCCACGGCTTTACCTCTAAAGGTTTCAGATTTCTAACTATTAAAGAGCTAAGCCCTTATATATCTTGTTTTGATGTCCTTTAGGGGGATCAAGCGTTAATTAAGGGGGTCAATCCCGCCCCAAACCTCCCTATAATTCACACCTTGGTTTGAACTAAACTGTGCAGAGCTGTGGCCTTCCAGGAACTGAGTTTGACATCTTTGCTATAAGGTTTGTCAAATTTTATGTTTACTGTTCCAAAATCGTTAAAATGTTTCATAAAATAAAATTTATTGTGTTGTTAAAATGTTTTTTACCCAGACATTTAAAAAGAACATGGCTTAGAGCAGTCGTACCACCAGAATCTTACCGGCCCATGCCTACAAATGGTGGAAAATAGTAATACCCGTGCATCCCAACAATACTTTGAGGTCTATTTAAGCAAAACGAATGGTCTTCATGAAACTTTGCAATTTCGAATTTGTTCTACAATTCATTAAAGTAAATGGTTTTAGCTTAAAAAAAGAAGCGAGAGACTTTATTCATCCAGTCAATAAATTCATAAATACATTTTCTCTTTATGTGTCTGTCCATCATATTAGGGTGAAAGTAATTTGAGGGCTTGTTTTCAGCTGAAATGTTTTTCTAAGCTAAAACATGAAGCAGAATGAAACAATTGGAGGACATTTTTCAGTCAGCTGGTCGTTTTGGGGATAAGGGTAGTTCAAGAGGAATGTTCTCCCTACCCCGGAAACCCGGCCCAAATCAAAGAGGCTTGAGGACGGAGCCAGAGCCGTATCTAATGTTCAAATCAAACAGAAGGAGAGTGAGACATGCTGCTATTTCTGTCCCAAAGGAAACTCCAGGCACAGAACACACTACAAGACCTCGTCACACACTGGCCATGCTACAGGAACCAACCTGAGAGGGAACCAATTTACTGTAAAACAACATTCTGGTTGCGAAGATCAAGAACAACTTAGCATAAGCACATGAGGGAGGAATTCAACTATGCCTGACCTCCACTTGAAGAACTTCTCTCTTCTCCTTAAAAAGTGTCTGTCAGCATGCATGCCATTCTGTATTGTCAAAACCCAGCTAAAAATAGCTTCGCCACAGAAAATTAGCACTGTAGGGTGGGAATGCATGCAAAAAGCTATACATAAACACGCAGAATTGTGCCACCAGCCTTGGTTTGACAAAAACTGATGATGCCTCATCCAAAACCATTTATGCAAAATAACTTCACACACATCCACAAATATCAAACCCAAAACGGAGAATGTACCAACAAATGGTGGGTTATTTACTAATCAAAAGCTTCAAATCACATTAAATAGACCCAAACATCCACACTATTTATGGAGGACTGATAAGGTCAAGATTGGTCTAATGTTCTTCCTGTGAGCTGTTACAACCCTGGGTATCAGTCTGTGAGAGCTGTCAGAGCCAGCACTTGAAAGAGACTGAGAACATCTTACTCACAGAAGACAGCCTGATTTCACCATACTCATGACAAGCAATGAAGACGGCAGCTTCAGAAAGTTAAATGTTAACATGGCAGAACAATTTTATGAGTTCAACTGGTGCTATAGAAGTGAGTCTATTACACTGTTCCCTATAAGCATCTGACATAGAATATCTAAAATTGAATGTTGCATAACTTAAAATCTCCTAAAGGTTATTTAATTGTAAAATCAACCTTAAGGAGCTGAAAAATCATAGGGTTTGCAGCAATAAATCTTTTCATGAGACTACATATGATCAGTTCAGGTCCAAAAACCTCTTAAGTGCCATTTGGAATATTCTTCTACAAAGAGCATTTTTCTCAGCCTCTTATGTTTATGTTCAGTTATTTCATGTTAAAGGGCACCTATGATGGAAGTCATCTTTTGTAAGCTGTTTGGACAGAACTGTGTGTAGGTATAGTGTGTCAACGGTCATATTGGGGTGATATAAACACATTAAGTCTCTTGTTTTTTAATTTCTTGACATTAAAACAACATGACTTTAAAACGTTTTTAAAACAGTGCTTGTTTGTAATGAGTTACAGCAATTTTACAGCTTTACTTTATCACCACAGCCGAATGTCACAACGCCTCAACCCTGGTTTGTGAACATTAAATCAGGTTTATTTTGTACATTAACATAACAGATATCCATACAGCAGTGGATATTAAAGTGTATCCTGTCACATTTGCCATGCAAAGCTAAACGTGCTAAAGCTAAATGGTGTGTGTGTGCGTGCGTGCGTGCGTGAACTTCGTAACAACATTGTGTGTGACTCATCATTGCAACTCCACTACATAAACATCAAATAATAAATATTGGGAAAGTTCTTACTGTAGCATTCCTCACAAACGTTACGCGAGATCTGCTTCCTTCATGCCTGTCACGGTGCTGTTTATCTGACTCAGCCAAGGCGGAGATTGAGGCACACTCTGATAGGCACGTGGGGAACGGTGGGTGGGGAGAACGAGTATTTCAGGCACAGGCAAAAAATACGAATAATAATAACAACAAATCTACATTGTGTTCAAATCAGAACATTTCAATGTTCTGAAAGGTATAATAAATAATATGATGGGTGTTTTGAGCTGAAACATTACAGACACATTTTGGAGACACTAAACTTATCTTAAATTTGGAACAAATTAGTTTGAAATAGGTGCCCTTTAAAAGTGATGAAAATAACCAATTATTTGCCATAAAAGTGAAGTTTCATTTACTTAATCTCACGTCATTTATAAGTCTACAGTATATTTTAGAAATATAAGAAAATTACAAGTAGGTCAAGATGAAAAGAGGTTTTTAGTCATAATAAAAGTGTAATTGATCTTGATTTTTTCCTTTATTTATTTTTAAACATGCATATGTGCTATATATGTGCTGACAATGTATTTGGTTTGGTGTCAAGACAAAAATTATTTAAATTAATTTTGAAAAAAGAACCGATATTTTAGTTGTGAATCACTAAAAGTGTCATTGACATCTGTGCTCTCTGTTTACTTTCAGTACCAGGAAAAGAGCAGTAACGTTATATAGCTACACGTTTATTTCATAGTCTGTGTCTTCTGAAATACAAGCTCTTGAGTTAAACAATGACAGAAAACATCTTGTAAAATATTCCTTAAGCCAAATAGTAACATAACACTGTTTTTGCTTTGCAACATCAAAAAGCATACGGGCAGTCCCTTCACACGAAATGCACGCTTGTTTGCAATAATCAGTTTTCTCAATGAAAGCATTCTGCTCAAGCGTCCTAATTACACAGCAGATGGGCTCGTTTTTAAATGCGGTTAATAATTAGTTAGCATGTTAAATCATTTAAACAGTACTCGTGCTCTCACACAACTCCACAGCCGATCGCCAATCACAGGTTCAACATCAGCAAAGGTCGCCGGAGAGGAAGCTGGTTAAATAACACGAGCTGCACTGAACGTGAATCTTTTGCAGGCCTCGAGCCCCGAACCTCTCGTTCCCAGGGCGACGAGTGACTGACGCAACTTTCAAACGCGGGTCCGAAAGCAATATAGTATTAAAAAATCCCTGGACACTTACAATCCAAATGCTTCTTCTTTGGCCCCATGACTTCGTGCGTGGTCGCCTTGCACACCGTTTTGGACACCGCGGAACCGGTAACAATGTGTTGCGCTGCCGTTATCCGGTCCGTAATGCTCTGTCCAGACATCCTCGCAGGTTTAAACAAACAAAAAAGGGGGAAAACAAAAAAAGAGGGGAAAATCTACCCGGGTTGCTAAATCCAACGGCAATGATATAGTCCCTGGGATGTGCACTGTTTCGCCACCTGACTGGGGGAGAAAGAGAGAAAAGAAATGAGACTAATACGCATCAGCCGCTTCTGAGAGTCCAAATGAAGTTTGTCCTGTATGTGTGCCGTCAGCTGATCGCGACATTTACGTACCAAACGTTTCCTCTTCTATTAACAGCAGCGTCCCCTCTCCCTCTCTCAACCCCTCTTGTCACGCACGCGCTCTCTCTCTCTCTCTCTCTCTCTCTCCCTCCCTCTCTCTCTTTTTCTAACTCCCCCTTTTTCTCCAAAGCGACTCTCCTCTAGGTTCTCGCCTCCCCCTACTGGGTTTAAAAGGCTTGTAGGAAAATGGCGGGTCTGTTTCCTCTTTTCAGAGGATCCTCCCAAGATTTACATGGACGTTGGGCTGTAAGTGCAAAGTGACGCCATGTTGGCTCTGAATGTCAGTACCGGGGCCTCACGTTACGTACAAAGTAAGGGCTGCAATTGGGTTTGTGAGCCAAAATGGCGGCTTTAGATAGACAGTAGCTGTGCCTTATCTAGCAGTTCCGCTATTCAGCAGATGACGGTTCACGTGACGGAATTTGTCCAACCGAGTTCCCGGTTTCACATAGTTTTTAAACAACATAATCGATTTAAACAGTTTAGTTTTTTCAAATGCAAGTAAATTTGCTACATTTTGTTTATTTTTTGTTGTTGTTTGTTCTTTTATTACATTTTAAAATATATTATTCGTGTTATTTTCCTTAATCTGTAAGCAGACAGAAATGTTTGAGAAAATTCCAAATATGACAATATGAAATTTATTTTATAATAAGATTTTCACAATTACAATAATTGTTATTATATTGTTTCGTTTTAAAATCGACAATTATATGTACATTCATTTTTTTATTTTTTTATATATTTAAATTGAGCTGAGACAACACAATTCTTGAGGTTTCATTTGGACAACCTAATTTGGTATGTTCAATCCACATAAATTTGTTAAAAGTGTTAACTTCATCAATTTGTGCTGGGACGACATGAATGAATTGTGTGGAACCCTGCATTTTCTTACAGTACAGTTATAAAAAAATACATAAATGTTATTCGTTTTTTTAATACAGATATTTCCTCCCATTTTCAATTATTTGGTTTTAATTAAAGCTTATATGTTTTTTTTGTGATGACAATAAAGATAAAGGATAAACAAAGCATATTTATTTACATGACCAATTCTGTGTGTTATATTGTTTTTAAATATTTGATGGTATAACATGTCTAATATATGTTGTATGATTGCATGTATGCATTAAATTTTTATATTTTTATTAGTATTTATTTAATTATAATAACATATAAATAAAAATTTACTTTTAATAATCGTAATATGATTAATATTTATTATTAGTATTATTATTATTATGTGTTATTATTATTATTATTATTAAAATACTCATATAGCCTATAAAATACTCATCTAATACTCAAAAACATATTTCATCATTATTTACGAATAAATCATTTTAATTTCCATCGCTTCTTCAGCTAACCTTGCAGAATGTCTAGAAAGGGAGACATCTAGTGATAAAAATATGCCATTACATTAGACACCATCATAATTCTCAACAGTAGGCCTAGGTTGTTTCTCGATATTTTTTATGCAATAGATAAATCCTGCGGCTGCATCATTAAAGCTTAAATAATTGATGCAAATGACAGAAGTCAATTACACGCATACTAAACATATACAGTTATTAGCCAGTGTTGCAAGATAAGATTCAGCACAAAGCTTCCAGTTAGGCATATCACTGCCAGTGCTAACCGTTTCACCAGAAGATGGACAAGCCATGTGTTCCAGAAATTTCTTATATTTACAAATTTAAAACAACACCATCAGCTCACTGACCAATATTGATGGAACTTTCTCTCTCTCTTTCTCCTCTTTCTTCAGGCTCGTAGATGTAAGGGCTGGTTCTTTTTTCTCAAAATGTGGAACTTTTTGCAGTTATTTTCCTCATTTTCTAATTTTTTATGAGATTTAAATACTCCATTTTAGTGACATTTGACGCACTATTTTTAGCTGGATTAGCTTGTCGGGACGGGTGGTCAATAACCACACGTTTATAAGGTCCCAAAGTTTTGGTAAAATAATGAACAAACTAATGGGGTTAGACAAACAATTTTTTATTTTTTTTTTACCAACAAAACACAAGCCTCTCCTACAAATGAGCACTGAAATTATGATCGCCGGACCTATAGTTTCTGTGCAGTGTGGCAAAGTGCCAGGAGTAAAAATGTTACTGTTTACCCAAATCAGTGGCGCAGGTTGTAACAGACAGAGGGTTAGTTGTAAAACATGTTAAAAGGCATATTTCACACAATTAATTTAAATCCAGCTTACTTTAAATATAGCTATATTTCCTCAGTACTTATTTTTTTATTCTACATATATATTTCACAGCATGTTTATTTATTTATTTATTTATCCATTGGGTAAACACATTTGGAATTATTTGCATTGTTATACATTAATATACAATGCATTTATTTGCAGTATTAGCAATAAAATATTTTTATCTATTAAAAAATATTTTCTGTTAAAAAACATTTTAATATAAAAAGTTTCCAACATTACACTTTCCAAGATGGTGTCCAAATGTTTATGGCTTATTTAAACATCCCAAACTGTTGTGTGATCATAACAATATAAGATTGTACTTACACACTTTCACAGATTTATTTTTAAATAAAAAAATGTTTGACTAAAATAAAAAAAATAACTTTATGCTTTAAAAAAATGGTTTCTCCTGTGTTTCTCATCCAAATTTCACCCAAACTTTTATAATAATTGGTAGGAAGACGAAAATGTCGGAAATTTGCCATAGTTAACCCTGAGTATACCTTAAAACTCTGTTACATTTTATTCTGTATTATTTTGTGCTCCACACTCCCCTATCATTTAGAAAAAAAATAGGAATCTGTAAACGTTTTAAATTTAAAACCGTACCCTATTGTCATTTATTATAGGCAAATAATGGCCAGCACATTTAACTTCAACTGATGTGACAGTCAACAGATGATTCTGCTTGGTCTTAAAGCCTTTTCAATGTTTTTTTTTTTTTTTTTTTTACAATTTATGATGGTGTAGCAGTCAAAATAGTACAAATGATCTCATGTATGGTACAAATTCAGGACCTTTGTCATTGAGGGGTGGGTCTTTCGAACCACCCGACCCTACTGGCCTGCTCTTCCAATCTAATAGATTAAAACAACACCCAAAGGCAGATTTTTAAGGCTTCTTTTTTTCTTCTTCTCCTAAACTGAATCATTAATCTCCACTTCAGCAACATTTACACAGCCGGGGTTCAGTTTTATTCATATTTGCATTCGGAAGATTTCTGCCTATAGATTTGCTCATACATAATTGCCTGACGGTTCAACAAAAATGTAAAAATCATTCAAATTCCCCCCAAAAATACAACCCCTGGCAAAAAGTATGGCATCACCAATCATGGAAGACGTTCATTAAAATGTTTGTTTGTGTAGAAAAATAAAACAAGGACATAAAACCATTTTTTTTATTTAACAATCTAACCTTCTGGCAATATGAAACACTTAAAACAGAAAGGAAAGAACATTGAAGTCTGTTTTTTTTACAGACCAGAGGAGAAAAATATGAAAACACACAATTCTGAGTGAAAAACATCTTCCAAGAGTGCTGATTCCATACTTTTTGCCAGGGGCTGTATAATACCTATAAAATCCTCCCATATAATATGTCAAAACAAAAGAAAAAGAAAGCAAAGGGGAGTTTTAAACATGACATTAACTGCACTCTTTATTTCTTCATGCTACAATAGTATGCAAATTAACTCATGTTTAATGAAATAAAGCGTCGTTTGCATATTCAAACATAACATTTAAAAAAAAAAACTTGCATTTCAAAAAGAATTTGCAATTCCGAATGTAATTAGGTGGAAAAATATAATGGTATGTGTTTACTTGCCGTTCTTCTCTAGTGCCTGTAGCTGAGTGACCACCAGGTAAAGGGTTTTAGAGACTGATTCTGTCCAGCAGATGAGCCTCTATCAATGCTCTCAAACTCAATTTCTGGAGGGCCGCATATACGCACCTCCAACTCACACCTGCTTAATGTTCTCTTAAGTAGACTTGAACACCTTGATTAATTGGATCAGCTGTGTTTGATTAGGGTGGAGCAAAACTGCAGCTCTCCAGGAATCCAGTTTGAGACCTATGCTCTATCAGCACCACTGAGCACCAGTGTCATCTGCCTGCAGTCAGCCTCATCAGATTAAAGCTTCGTCCGCGCTGTCTCCTGCAGGGGGCGACAAACACACGCGGATCTCCGTGTCCTTGCGCACAAACTTCAAGAGCATCTGGAGTCTGGACAGCAGCATCAGTTTGAGCACAGGTGCGCGCGCCTCTTCTGTTTACTGCAGATATCCAGCCCAAATAATCAACATTTCTACAGTATGTCTTTGTATTTTGCATTTTTAAAATAGTTTGCCTTTCACCAAAATGTTATCGAATGCAAATGATAAATAGCTTTAATTGAAAAATCAGTAAAAAAACAAATAATAATTTGTTAATAAAAACTAATTATGAACAACATTGAGCTGTCATAAGATGAATCCAAAAATAAAAGTTAATATTTAATTTAATATTTAAAAGTTAATAAAAGTTCAAATATATTTGTTCATATTGCATATTTTTTATAGCCTATATAAATAAATGCATGGCTATATTATAAAAATATTTTTATATTTTTATACATATACAAATTATACTTTAAACTAATTCTTTTGTATATGTTTGTGTTTTTTGTACAGTATGTGTGTTTATTCATACATAAATATACACATATATTATGTAAATGCAAACTTTTATCATGGATGTGTTTAATTACGAATAAATTCAAGGTGCAAATTACAGGGGGGTTTGCAATCTCCCCTGAAGAACATCAAAACAAGATGTATAGGGGGATCCACCCTTTAGTAATGTAAAGTGTATTTATGTAATGTAATGTGTATTTATATAGCGCATTTTTCGTGTATGGCCATACACCCAAAGCGCTTCACGACGAGGGGGGGTTTCTCCACACCACCACCAGTGTGCAGCATCCACTTGGATGATGCGACGCAGCCACAGGACAACGGTGCCAGTGCGCTCACCACACAACCAGCTATTGGTGGAGTGGAAAGACAGTGATAGAGCCAATTCGGTGGATGGGGATGATTGATTGTAAGGGACGATAGAGGGAATTTGGCCAGGACACTGGGGTTACCCTACTCTTATTAGGAGATGTGCCATGGGATTTTTAATGACCACAGAGAGTC